GAAACGAGGTTCCCTGCGGATTTCCCGGGACCCAGGAGGGTGGAAGCTGTCGCTCGCGAATAACCCTCGAAGTCTTTTTCGTCTCGGAAATTGTCGGGTGGAAACCCAGGCCTTTGCCCTAAGGGGATGGGGGTGGCAGTGGCGGCAGCTCTGCCCCCAAACTAGTCGGGATCTGAGACCCAGGTCTGGGAATTTATTAATAAACCCCACTCCCTTCCCTTTTCTCCCCTTCCCTGGCTCCTCTCTTTCTTCTCCTCGGTCCCCTCCTCTCCACCTCTGGAGTGCCTGGGGTGCCACCCTCTGGCGCTCAGAGGCAACTGAACGCGAACAACCTCAGAGCAGGTGACCCAGTGGAGACCTCTCATCTCCCTGGACTAGAACCTTCAGACCCCCTGAGCTGACGGCAGGCCACGGTTCTTGAAACCGAACACCGTGGGGCGGCGCACCAAGGCTCGTCCTTGGTCACCTTCCCCTTGCCTGCTGCGGAAAACCGATCTGCCCTTAAGAAGCCCCGCGGGCGCCCTCCGTTGTTCTGGTAGCCCTTGGGAGGCATGGATAAGACGTTCTTGGCAGAAGGGAGGAGAAGACACAGGCCAGTGTTTTGGAGGCTGCAGTGGGTGTGTTTTTATTTCATTTTCCATGGTTTAGGTGCCAGCGCATTTTTTTAAAATTCCCAGAAAAAAGAGAGCTACCAACATAATAGCTTGTTTTTATAAAACTGCACAAGGGCTTCCCTTTTCCCTAACCTCCTTCATTTTTCAGGTTTTCACCCGGTTATAAATTTCTTTTATTCCCCAAATCACAGTAACCCCCCAAGTTTTCATGGTTTACTTTTATGGTTTTAAAAACATCACTTACGCCAGCCCCACCTTTGCCCTCACATGGTGGTCCTCTCTGAGCTGCACTGATGTTAAGCCCAGTGTCCTTTGCAGCAGTTCAAAATACCATTTCAGGTTTTCAGGGACAGTGAGGTCCCAAGAACCAGGGTGGGGGAAATAGGGGTAAGGAGAGTAGGTGATAGGGGTGGGGGGGAGGCCATGAATTGTGATTGTCTAACAATACATCATCCTTGAAAATGTGCTCTATTACATCAGTAATTTCTAATGAAAAACTTCATTCTTCACACACTGTGGTTAAGCATCATCAAATCAGTACTGAAAAGGCTTTGATCATATTTGCAAGATGCACTAAAATGAACTTTCACTGACCAAGATTTCAAAGTTTGTAATTAATACTCTTGACAAATCCCTGACTAATCTGTCAACTCTCAATATCTTTAACCACACAGTTCAAAACCATGAGATGGTGTACACAGCCCCTAAACTTTCCACATATTGTCATATAATTGTTCAAGATAATTTTCCCTTTGAGTTTGTATTATGAAACTCAACCAATTTTTGTCATATATTCACCAATGGGGGAAATCCAGTGATTTGAATGAGTGTGAAAGAGAGTATGGGTTTGGTCTGCCTAAGGGCGAATACAGAATTAAGGGCCAGAGACAGGAATTACAGGAGGCAGATTTCTATTCAATATAAGGAAAGCTTTTTAAAATAAAAATAAAAAAGGAACCCAATGGCTGGTGTAAAAAAGTTTCTTCACTCATAAGTATTCAGGGAGTGTCCCTTCCAGTGACACTTTAGGGAGGAACAATGAACTGGCTGTGAAGACCAGAGTTGACTGCCAAGATTCTAAAATACTCCTCCTGCTAGCTTTCTCCATTCCTCATGGACTGCAATGGGAACCTCAAAACAATTAGTGTCTTGATGGATCAGGCATCATTCCTGTTACAATGATTGTTTGGCTCTGATTTCAGGTGCCCACCCCTCTCTGTTCCTGCCTGTCAAGATGATAATAATAATTACCATCCTTTCACTTATAACGTATGTGCTGGATTCCTACCCTGTGTACAATGCTGGATTTTAGAGGTGCAGAGTGTAGTCATAGGGTTTCTGCATCATGAAACTCTTGAGTTTTAAAGATTTGTAAAAGTATGGTCTCTGGCCGGGCTTGGTGGCTCAGTTTGTAATCCCAGCACTTTGGGAGGCAGAGGCAAGTGGATTGCCTGAGCCGGCGGGTTCGAGACCAGCCTGGGCAATTTGGCAAGACCTCACCTCTAAAATAAAATAAAAAATGAACCAGTTGTGTTAGTGTGTGCCTATACTTCCGGCTACTTGGAAGGCTGAGGTGGAAGGATCACCGGAGCCCAGCAGGTTGAGGCTGCAGTGGCTGTGAGCATGCCATTGCATTCCAGCCTGGGCGACAGAGTGAGACTCCAACTCAAAAAAAACAAAACAAAACAGTATGATCTCCTTAATACAAAATAAACTTGAGTAGCTAATATAGCACTGATTGTTATGCAGTTGCAGTATTTTTATTACCAGGGAGTATTTTTATTTAGGACTAAGCAAACCATTATTAAAGGTTAGTATTATTACCAAGTGTGCTTCCATATCATAAACATAAAAATGGCACACATTGTAGGAATCCCCCTGCCCTGCCAGTTTGTGACCCATTTATACTGGACAAACTATCCCAAGCCTACACATATCTTTACAAAGAAAATTCACCAGCTTTTGAAAAACACAAATGAAGAGGTGCTCTTTAAAAATAAAAGACAATTAACAAGTTATACATCCTTGCAAAAAAATTTTAAAGGGCAGACCTAAATATTGGCACTATTGCTCTACAAACAATAAGAATGTAAGACCCACTAGAAATAGCCAATGAGTAGGATTTGAGAATATCTACTTTAAAGAAAGCAGAAGCACTCAGCCCTCAAGGGACACTGTATGTGTGGATATGTTAATATGTGTATTTGGGGGGAGGGAATTTATAACATCAGTTGACCTTCCCATCTTCACCTAGTTTCAGTACTCAGTTTCTGTTCCTCTTTTTGACTCCTCCTGTATTTTCCTTATTTCAGTTGGGAGAGTAGGATGGCCTAGGATTGGCAATAACTAAGCTTTGCAGCCTTCTAAACAAGCCCCATTTGCCCAGCACAGCCTGATGTGAATCATACAACAGATGCTCAAGATGTGGAGTGCCCAGTTCACTGGCAGCAACACCCCAGCTATTCCTAGGACACTGTGCAGAAGGTTTTCCTGCCTCTTCCCCTATGCCCCGCCTCTGACCCCAGTACCAGATAACCTCATGTTTTTTATTTGTGTGAAGTCCCTTATCCTAACTTGAAATGTTCCCCAATTAGCCCTCTTTTGCCTGGGCACTGTGGCAGAGCCTTTTTTTCCATCTCTTAAATCTGGGCAGGCTTGTGACTTGCTTTGCCTGTAGAATGAGGAGAAAGTGTCACTGTGTAAATTCCAGAGCTTAGGCCTTTAGAAGCTCTACAACCCCCATTCTTGCTTACCTTAACTCTAGGACCACTTGCTATGCAGAAGCCCAGTCTAGCCTATTGGAGGAGGAAAGGCCATGTGGAGAAGGGCCAACAACCAGCACACATTACCAGATATGAGAGAGAGGCCATCTTGGACATCCCAACTATGCTGAACTCAGATGACTGCAGCACGGGAATGTTCCCAGGTAAGACTAGCCAAATAACTGTCCAGGTTGCCTGCCCACAGAATTGGTATCAATCATTACCACTGCATCATGCACAGAATTGGAAACTTTTAACCTTATCAAACAGAACCATAAGTAAACTTGCTATAAGCTATCAATTACATCTCCTTTTCAAAAGGAATCTCTATGCCGCCAACTCTTACTTTCTAAGAAATTGTTAGATATTGGTGGGCTATTAAGGTAATTTCCTGTCCACTCTTTTTCAGCTGACTTGATTTTAGACCAACTAGTAATGAACTACACACTTTAAAAGAAGGGAAACCTTAAAACAATCAACAAATATTTTAAATCTGAAAGATGTGATGGGGAATAAGATTAAAGCTATTGGTAAAATGAGGTTTCGGTGTTGTTTGCAGCTGTCATTTATCATATTTGCTTCTGCTGTGACACATAACTGGCCAGTGCCTCTGGCCACCTTTTATTCTGTGTTTATGTTGTTCAACCCTAGTCAACAGTTCACAGGTTGTTACTCCAACCTTTGCCAAGGATCTGTTTCTGGCGCGCAGTGTCTGTGCTGTCCACATTCCAGCTCAGATGGGCAGGTGGGTAAAGCCAACAAGGTACAGGGGGGAGCCACTTGGTTGCCTGCTGCATCTCAGCATCTTTTCAACAATGCTGCAAAGCAACCTACGGCACTTTACATAATGTGACTGAGGTCTCCTGTGTTCAGCTCCATGCTGGCATTTGCTGCACACCTACTGTGCGTCAGATTACAGTGGAGGTCTTTATGTTCATTGCCTCATTCAGTACGCATAACAAATCTGTCAGGTATCACCCTACTTTACAGATGAGAAAACCAATGATTAAAGAATTTACTTTGTACTTGGTGCAACTAGGTTTGTGTTTGTTTGTTTATTTGTTTTTGAGTCAACTCCTGGACCCAGGTGATTTTTCTGCCTCATCTTCTAGAGTGGCTGGGATTACAGGCTAATTTTAAAAAAATTGGGGGGGGTAGAGACTAAGTCTCATTATGTTGCCTAGGCTGGTCTTGAACTCCTGGGCTCAAGCAATCCTCCCGCCTTGGACCAAGTAGGGTTTTAATCCAACACTTTCTGGTTCCACATCCCTGTCTACCCATTCTGCCTCCACCTCTCCCTCAGTGCCTCACTGAGGGAAGATATGGGATGTTGCCCTGAGGAAATGCCTCTACCACTATAGCAGATGTGTGACCCCTGATGTTCTCCCTAAATCAGAATCAACAGTCTGTGTGTACCCAGAGTGAAGAATATGTCTTCTTAGCCCCCTCATTCAGATTCCCCAGAGTACTTGGACAGTAATCGGGCACAGGAAGGCTTCTGTGAAGTTGCCACAAGAGGAAGATGCTGAGGACCTTGGCTTTAGGGCCAGCTGCCATTATTCAAAAGAGCCAACTTAATGATCTGGAGGCCTTTCTTGCAGAAAGACAAGGCTTCAACTCTTCGGAAAATATGCCTATGCCAATGAGGCTGGGATACAAGGGTGTTCAAAACGCAATGAATTCTCTTCCTGTGAAGGGAGGGCCATTTGCTCTGCAGATTCTCCTTCAGGAAGTTAGGAGGACTCTTCTGCACTGGTCAACAGGCCCTTCCTGCGTCTCTGGGTCACCTCCTTAAGTTATCAAACACAGTTCAAGTTCCTTAAAAACAGCAATATATGGACTGGCAAATCATGACCTGTGATAACTGCCACAATCAAGCAGGTAACCTGCGGCTTTTTGCAAAGACTTCCAAACTCACTGAACACATGGGGATCTTGGTCTGACAATCCTTTCCTGAAGAATTGCTTTCGCTTTAGACAAACATTCTCTAAAAGGGCAGAATGGTAGATCTGTGACAGCTAATTTGCCAGCTTAGCCTCCAATCCTTGCCTTGCAGTTGATGAAATGAAAACAAACCTGAAACACAGGAGGCATAATCTCATACCATGTGCTGCGATTCTCTCTCAATTTACCTGACAACCACCGGAAAGGGGAGCTCCACTCTTATTTTCACTGATTGCTGGCTGGGC